GAAGAGAGATAGAAACATCCATTTGGCTACCTCCTACATGCTCCCGATTGGGGACGGAGCCCACAACCGGGGCATGTGCCCCAACTGGGAATCGAACCAGTGACCTCTTGGTACACAGGATGATGCTCAATCTACTGAGCCACACTGCCAGGATGCCTATTCCTTTTATCACCTAAATATCTACTTGCATGAATGTAGTATTTCTGGGATAACAATTTATTTCAAGATCTTGTAGACATTAGTCATTTTCCCTGGCACTGGATATTCTTATGAGGAAGTACAGTATTGTAGTTTTTTAAATCCTACTTCTAGATGATTTTTTTAAATTGGCTTGGACAACTGATATTTTCTTTATATCCTTTAATTTTATCTTTATGTCCTTTAAGTTACATCAGTCAGTGCCTTTAAGTTTTATCTGTTACTGCTTTTCATTTCATAGAAATTTATCATTGCATCAGAATACTTTTTCTGACCCATTTGGTGGGTTATCATTTTGGAGGAGTATCTTTGTCTTCAGATCTTGCATTTATTCATTAGTTTATTCAACAAATATTGATTCCCTGCTCTGTGCCAGTTGAACAAAAACAAAGCGACTGCCCTTGTGGAACTTACATGCTAGTGGGAGGAAGGGAGGTGATACATAGTTAGCCTAACAGATAAGTAAATTAAATGTTAATTTAGAAAATGACAAAGACCAAGAACAAGTAGACCTGGGTAGGTAGAATGATACAGTTAAATAGATATTTAGGGAAATTACTCAATATTTGTCTCTTGCTCGACATTAACCATGATTATGTTAAACCTTTATCAGTATTTCAGTTATGTCTTTTCTGTTGCTCACTGTTTCCAGTTTATTTATTAGCTGTAAAGGTGTTTCAGTCCTCATCATTTTCTTAGGAAAAAGCTCTGCAGCCTCCCTTTCCATCTCTTTTATTATTCTATTATCTGATCATTAATTCATTTAATACATGGTCTCATTTTAAGAGTTTGATAGGGAAAATAGGGAAAGAGATGGAGATGATAGTTGAAGGAATAATGACAGTTGGTGTAATTTTTTGTTGTTTTCTTAGAATAGAGGCAATTTGTGCATGTTGAAGCTAAAAGGGAAGATGGTAAAAGAAAAGGAGAGATCTGAGAAAACTAAGGTAATAGGAAATTACAGAAATTGGTCTATATCACACACAGAGTACTTAAGTAATAGAGCTAGATTTTGAACCCAGAAGATCTACCTGATTCCAGAGTCCATGCTTTTAAACATTATAATATACTAGAGGCCTGGTGGATAAAATTTGTGCACGGGGGTGGGGGGGTATCTCAGCCCAGCCTGCACCCTCTCGCAGTCCACGACCCCTTGGGGGATAGC